CATTCCCACTGCACTTCTCATATTTCGTCTAATCATCGGAACTTCACGGACCATAGAAAACTCTCTTCCTGCCATAAGACCAACTTTGGACCTTCAATTGAATTCACTCTTTGCTATAATCGAAAACGCTAATTTCTTTTCATCTTCGATCAGTATAATACTGTTATTTGTCCGGATTTTTTGAAACTTTTGGCTAATAAACCGAACGAGCAATAATGCCGCCGAAGGTGCAATCGAAGGCTGATTTAGCGAAGAAGCAAAAGATCGTTGAAGACAAAACATTTGGGCTCAAGAATAAGAACAAGAGCAAGAATGTGCAGAAATATGTCCAAAACCTCAAGCAATCGGTGCAACCCAAACCGGACTCGACTAAAGTTGCCGTTAAGGTTTATTTCGTTTTTGAATATTTTGCCAATATTAACTTTCGTCCTTTTCTGATTGTTTCTGTAGAAGGATTACTGTTCTATAGAGAAATTGAGAAGATCGAGTATTCTGGGTGTGCTTAGGAATACTAAAAATAGGGAAGTAGTACGTATCTCGAAAAAAAAAAGGGAAGTACTGGAGCTTGTATGGTTGATTGGTTGAAGGATTGATTTGGGTTAAGAGAAATTAGTTTTTAGTGATTTTTTTTGGGCGAATCAACTTTTGGTAAACTCTACCGATTTAGAACTGAATTATATTCTGGTTGCTTATGGAGTGATTTCAAAACAAGGGAGAAACTAAATTTGCGTTTTAGTTATTGAGTGAATTTTTTATAGGAATCAAGTAAGTGAGAGTGAGCAAAAAAATGCTTTTCGTGAACAGAAAAAGAAAGAGGAAGAGAAGGCAAGAGAGAAGGAGCTGAATGACTTGTTCAAGGTAGCCATTAGTCAGCCAAAAGTGCCTGTGGGTATGTATTGTATATTTCACATGCTTTTATAAGTTTATTAGTGATGTGTATGAATTGTTATATTTCTGATGGAGGAATCTTTTTAATAGGTGTTGATCCCAAGTCTATCGTGTGTGAATTTTACAAAGCGGGTCAGTGCACTAAGGGCTTCAAATGCAAGTTCTCACATGATTTGAATGTCCAGAGGAAGGGTGAGAAGATTGATATTTACAGTGATAAGCGTGATCAAGGTAGTCAAACAGAGATATGTTTGTGTTATAGATCTTATGCTTCCTAACTGCTTGATGTTCTTTCCTTGTTCTTCCTTTTTTCTCCACTGTATCAAAGTTTTATTTTTGACGATTGTCTTGTTTGTTAAGACAAAGAAACAATGGAAG